ACACGAGTGCGACGAATCGAGAGACCGGAACAAGAAAGAGCTAAGTCAACCCGTTCCCCCCAATTAAAAAGGCCTATAAACTCTTAAAGACAAGTTATCGATCGATCGAAGACTCTACAGGTCCCAGTAATTTAAATAATCCTTTCCCTTTCCCCTTCCCCCCTCCCACTAATAAATATATTTTAAGTGAGTGATTGTTGATGTGGCTGCGTGGGTAAACGAGCTCAAGTAGTTAAGTAATTAGGTAAGGGATAAACACTGAAGAAACACGACACAAAAAATTGTAACCTTTTCTCGAATAAACGACCAAACGAAATTGTAATTGAAACTGTTTAATAAATTGTGTATTAATTTATGTGGTGGTCTCGTGGGTTTTAACTAACACCCCCACCTCGGCCGCGGTGAGATGATGCTCTCCGACTGGAGTTAACTGACCTAAACAAAAACAATCTCCCGAAACCATAGAACCGCCGCTGCCGAGGGGTCGGGGGCGTTAGAAATAAATCAATCAATAAAGTGGGGGATCTACTAAAAAGCAAAGCTCGTATTATGTAGGTCCCGGTACAAAAGTACCCTTACTTTCTTATAATTTCGAGAGTACACTTTATTTCGAAAATGAATTACTTTCTTAGGTATACTTCTTAGTTTGGCAAGCAAACTTACCTCCGATAGTAGATTTTTTTCTATAGTACAGGCTTAATCTTGATTTCCAATTGTTAAATGTATTCTTATAATTATTATAATTGTATTATTATTACCAGTAATTACTATTGTTATTTTAATTGTAATTATTATTATTATAATTAATTGTATTATAGCTATTGTCAATATTTTATTATTATTATCATTTTATATCACCATCACCTTCTTCACTGCATAACATGGGTGTCGATCCCGGGGGGATGGGGGGATATATCCCCCCCCCCCCCAATATTTCAGGTGGGGGGGATGGCCTGTACAATTATCCCCCCCCCCGATAATTCACCATCAAAAAAAAAATGAAGAGAAAAATTAATGAGAGCCCGATGAGAGTAGTTAATGGTTATTACTCGCAAGATGACCATCAATATACACATTTTGCTATCTCATTTTCATAATACATATATATATATATATATATATATATATATATATATATATATATACAAAGTTAATGAGACAACCGTATATGAGACAAGAATAAATTGAATTCTCGCTCATAAGGCTTCATCGGGAATTGATGAATTTATTCAATTTGTTCAATCAGCAGCATCATAGAAATGCAGTGCGCCAAATGCAAAGCCGCAGCGTTAAAAAGCAACGAGCTAAATGTTAAGCGCGAAGCGCAAAAGTAGCAAAGTAGCAATCTGCAATTAATGCACACCAAACGATTCTGGACAGTGTAAACATAGATGAACTCTGTAACGAATTCGTGATTAGATCGGAGACAAGGAGAAAGATTTTCGGACATTAGTATGACTTATAAAATAGTTCACTAATTGCTATGTTGTTTCCGTTCACCCTTTTTAAAATTCACGTCATTGTATCTCTATTTTTATTTTTTTCACTCATTTTATTTCCTGACATTTCATAAAACATTTTCATTTTTGGAGAAAGATTACTTTGTCACATCTTATTTTTGTTTTATTGAAAAGCTGATGTAGGCCTATATCACTGGCGTAACCATGACTTATTTTAAATTTCATACAAGTGATTTATAAATGTTCGTGATATCACATGATTTTCAACAGAATTCGCGTTTCTCCATTTCTGTTGCAAACTGACACATTCCCAAATAGCCAGGAAGAGCATATATTTTGTATAGTCACTAATGGGCCTAATTAGTGGCCGATAACGCTAATAGTAGTACACAATTCCTTTCCAGAAGCTATTGCGACAAGCACTGCCGGGAGATAACATGATACCAACCACACGGGCTGTGCATGCAAAGATTTGCGAACGAACGTTTCATACGTACATCATGTGGGGAAACTGAATTCAGACAAGAATTAATATACATGTAGAGAACAGTACAACGAATCGTCTTCTTTCTCTAATAATTTAGTGAAACGGCAAAGCTTCCGCGCTTTTCGCGAGAGGGGGTAACTGAATTCAGACTAGGATTAAGAGTTATAAATAAATGAAACGTCAAAGTACACGACACAACGAATCGCCTTCTTTTTCTGATAATTTAGTGAAACGTGAAAGCTTCCGCGCTACGCGGGGGATGGGCGAAAATAATTTCTGACGTGGATTAAGAGTAATAATAAAATGAAACGTCAAAGCTTCCGCGCGGGAAAACTGAATTCAGACAAGGACACGAGACAACGAATCGTCTTCTTTCTCTATTAATTAAATGAAACGTGAAAGCTTCCGCGCTTTACGCGGGAGGGGGCAACTGAATTCAGACTAGGATTAAGAGTTATAATTAAATGAAACGTCAAAGTACACGATACAACGAATCGTCTTCTTTTTCTAATAGTTTAAGGAAACGTGAAAGCTTCCGCGCTATGCGCGGGATGGGCTAAAATTATTTCAGACGTGGATTAATAGTAATAATTTATTGAAATGCAAAGCTTCCGCGCGGGAAAACTGAATTCAGACAAGGACACAAGACGAGGAATCGTCTTCTTTCTCTATTAATTAAATGAAACGTGAAAGCTTCCGCGCTTCGCGCGGAAGGGGGGGGGGGGACCGAATTCAGACGAGGATTAAGAGTCGAGAATGGTACATCGAATCGTCTTCTTTCTTTAATAATCTAATGAAACGTCAGAGCTTCCGCGCTACGCGCGGAGGAAGGGGAACTTGATTCAAACAAGGATTAAGAGTCGAGAACTGTCCAACGAATCGTCTTCTTTCTCTAATAATTTAATGAAACGTCAAAGCTTCCGCGCTTCGCGGGGGATGGGAGAAACTGCCCCTCCTTGCACGTACCCAGCCTCCTAGGGAGCGCGCTCTGTAAGTGATTTGCGTGCTCACTACCGCCCCCCCCCCCCTAAAATGAAATCCTGGGTACGCGCTTGGGGAGGAGTGCAACCTGCCACACGCTTCTACCTCTTGGTTGCTTTGATCCATTGCCGAAAATATTTTGGCACCTATCATCCCCCCCAACCACGGATACAAATCGACACCCTTGTTGCATAATGATTACAATTTCCTGAGCCTGACCAATGAGTTTTAAGGGATGGAGTCATGTCAAGCTCATTCTCTTTGTACCATCTTTGATGCCGCTAGGAGAAAATATGTCAGGCATGGATCTTCCTTGCAGATACGTAGACAAAAGATTCCTGCCTAGCTGCAAACTAACGGGCCACTTTCAAAGGTAAATATGAAAGGATACATTGTACACTGTTGGTCATAATGGTGGAATAATTATTTTTACCCCAGTTTAGGGAAGGATTTAAAAAAATTATTTATTTCTAATAGATCTAGATAATGGCATACATTCTCAGATTTTATTGAATATTGATTTGCGAGTGTTTCTTTTGCGTGACTGCTAAATCATATGTGTGCTACTATGCTAATCAGCTAGGGAACCTACGTCCTTAAATCATAATTGACAGTAATGAGGATTAATGCCTCACAAAAGGGCACTTATATAGCTGATCGACACGATTTTTATCCTGGGGCCTCACAGTAACGAGGCCATTACTTAGCCCCTGAATCATGACTGTACGCAGTGTTTGCTAGGGTACGCGGCCGCCCCCACAAATCCCCCAAAACGAAGAAAATGCAATAAATTGTCAAAAATTCATTGCAATTTCCCCCCGCCCCCAACAGGAAAAATTTCTCTGTGTGGCCATGCCTTGAACCATAATGCATGGCCCTACAGAGGAATTTTTCCTGTTGGGGGCCGGGGGGAAATGCAATGAATTTTTGACAATTTATTGCATTTTCTTCGTTTTGGGGGATTTGTGGAAGGGGCCGCGTACCCTAGCAAACACTGCGTACAGTCATGATTCAGGGGCTAAGCAATGGCCTCGTTACTGTGAGGCCCCAGGATAAAAATCGTGTCGATCAGCTATATATCAGTGCCCTTTTGTGAGGCATTAATCCTCATTACTGTCAATCATGACTTAAGGACGTAGGTCCCTTAGCTGATTAGCATATTAACACACATTATGATGAAGCAGTCACGCAAAACAAATACTCGCAAATTAGTATTCAATAAAATCTGAGAATGTATGCCATTATCTAGATCTATTAGAAATAAATAATTTTTAAAAATCCTTCCCTAAACTGGGGTAAAAATAAATATTCCACCTTTATGACCAACAGTGTAATTACTTTTCGCTACCACACGTCTGATAATACGAGCAGTACACATTGCTTACTTTCACAGGGGACAAGCGAAAAGAAATGGGGCAAAATTTCCTGAAATATTAATCAAAATTACTCGACTGGCCATGTGTGGGCACTAATCTGACACATAACATTATTATGAACTGTACATGAACAAAATCACTTTTTTTATTTTCGTGAGCCGGAAGTAATCGGAAAAGTGTCAAATTGCAGGTTTTAGGATTGTACAACTTTACTATTATACAATGTAAGCAAATTTCTTGACATAATTAGGATTTTGTATTCATATTTTATCATCTGTTTGATTTTTCCCTTGTTAGTTCAAATAAAAAGTGAAATATTAACGATATTTCTATGTGGAAAAAAAATCACTACTCAAGCTTTCCAATCGGATATTGGCGGCTTCGAACCTCGGATATCAAAGGTACCAGCACACTACTTACAAAACGGCAGCTGCTTGAAATAACTTATTGCCCGTTGGGACTCCAGCTCATTGACCTGACTAGCTGGGCTAGGCTTCTCTCAAGGCACAATGATTTTTTTTTATAAAGTGTCAAATTAGGGTCTGTGCTTGCAGACTAGCCTGACAGCGAGGCAATCCATCCAAATACTCGCTATAACACAAAATACACTAAAATGTATGATGAAAAGAATTTTTGTTGATATCACAGCCGTGTGTAAAAAGACACGCATGCCTTACCCTGTTCGAGTTCATTAGTTGCGTGTATAGCAGCCAGTCAGACGGTCAGTCAGACCAGTCTAGTTTGTTTTCATTATGACCTGGATAATAACTACACGGTTTCAATTGAGAGTCGAACACTTTTTGAATACACAGAGGGTTGTAATGTAATTGATGGATGCGAGTGAATAAATATTAAGGACCAAATTTCTTCAGAGTCTGAGGCAGGAAGCCATTGAACACTTGGAGGATATGGATAACGAGACAGTTCTGCATTCTAAGGAAATACTACTAGGAGAGACATGCCTCTGATTATAATAGGAAGATATAGACCAAGCTCACACGCATAGTATAGGAGTGGGGAAAGTATATGAAATATACTTCGCAAATACGTCTAGATCCCTATACAGAATCATAACATAAGCGCAGAGACATAATATTTTTGAAGACCATACGTACTGTTTAGCTACTATAGAATCATGGGTTTGTCGCATGAAGAATACTCCCTTCACTGGGGCTTTGTGGTTTTGGCGGCCAAATTTTGCCACTGGGCAATAATGACGGGACTGCTGAAATCATTTAGTATTTTCATACCTCATCTCGTCAAATTAATGGGAACGAGCTATGCTATTATAGGACTGGTTTGTTGTATGGCTGATTCATTGGGATGTTTGGCAGGTAAGAACCTATTATTATTACTATTATCAATATTATTATTATTTGAGTTATTATTGCTATTATCATTTTCATTATTATTGTTATCATTATTATTATTATTGTTGTTATTATCATTATAATTTTGTATTACAATTGTTGTTGTTATTGCTGTGAACCTCAGCGTATAAACGAAGAAGATCGAGGAAAACCTTTTCTTTCATTGGTCAATCATGCATTAATCCCATATCGAAAGGAAATCTTAAATGTCTGTAATATCTACATGTACATAGGATTATTATAAAAGATATCGGTTAGGGATGAAATAATTATGTGGACAAATATAGCGGCGCAATAACATATATTATAGTGAAATGAGGTTGGAATATCACCCCAGGGTTGGGCGGCAGGCGCGGATCCGCGGGGGGGGGGGGACCAAAAAAATGGTAAAAAAATAAAATAGTAATGTTAATTTTAACTTTAAAAAAACACTAAAGCGCCCTCCCCCCCTGGCAATTTACCCCCCCCCCCTCCCCCGCTTGTTCACCGACTGTATGATTGGCTGCTAAATATTTCCTCATGAATTGGCACCCCCCCCCCCCCCTCTTGCCGCCGGCTGGATCCGCCCATGTTGGGCGGTATAATATTGTAAGCCAATAATTGATTGTCCTTATAAGCTGAGAAGGGGTGGCCTACTAGCTATCCTGTGCCCCCGACCCGGCCACCATCGATCGTCATTTTAATAGATTTTTACCTCCTCCAATGAAAGAAGATAGTCAGGAAAAGGTTTATGGGTTTTAGATGGATTACATGGAAATATCGAATCAATATGGTATGAGGGCATTCATCATACATTGCATTGGTCAACCATGGACCCTACCACAACATGGGTCAACAAATTGGCTAGGTTGTGCCCAGTTTGCTCGCCCGATCTACTTAACACTGCTCGTATGGTTTTAACATTATTAGCAGCTGTCAGTTTAAATGACTGTCCCTTTATCAAAATTCCTAAAGGCGTGAGCAGAGCCTGCCTCTTAGCGTTTCTCGTTTTAATAAGACAGATACTACAAATTACCTAGCCTTCAATCAGTCCCTCAAAAAGGGGACGAGATGAACGTACAGTGAAACCATCCATGTGTGATGGAAGATAGACCTTGCAATACAGAGAGACAGATATATTGTTGGATTAAAAAATCAGTTCAGACGAGCAAAAGTGGGCTTACCGATATTTTGGAGATGAATATATTAAACTATAGGGCCTGTGCATGTTCTAGTACAATAAATTGATGTAATCAGGGATGTACTCTAACGTAATATGTCGATAGTTTAGTGAAAGAAGATATTATATATTTATACAATTTTTTAAATAATTAAGGATTAATCTTTTAGCATTATTTTGTTTTCCCTTCGAAATTGGGATTTTTGTGTTGGCACACCAGTATACCTCGCATGGGCTCGGATAACAACTGTTGGATAGACAGAGAGATAGGTGGATAGATAGATAGAAAGAAAGAATAGGTACGTAGGTGTGTAGGTAGGTAGGTGGATAGACAAATAGAAAGAAATATGGATAGGTTGGTTGTTAGGTTAGATAAATAGAATGTTTTAGGAAAATAGGTCGAAATGCCTATAGATCAAATAGAATGAATGGCAGGAAAAGCTATTAAGGTGCAAATGGCCATGACCGGAAATATAAAATTATGCCATTATTCAACTAAGAATGGAGTGTTTACCAGTTAAGAAATTCTATCAAGGTTTCTTTTTTATAATCTATACATAAATTATGGAGTTAACCTCAGCAGCAGGGAAGTGTTACTTGTACATGTATAGGTAGATAGGTATTTTCTACGTAGCATATTTACTGATTAAGATAAGTAAATCATGAAGTGAATGGATAGTTTCCTCCACATATTATCATGAATGACGTTCATACAATGGCCTAATTACATTTGAGAGTTAATAATAATAAAAATAATTTGGATTTATATAACGCTTAATAATGGTATATCGTCTCTAAGCGCTTAACAAATATTATTACCCCGGTCATCGGATTGGCGGATTCATTCACGCACAGTGTGCACCATCTCCACTCCTTGGGGAGTATTCCTACCATAATGATCACCGTAAGGGCATAGGCAATTAATAACACACATGCTTTCGTCATCCTACCGGGATCCCATTTCTCTCTTTGGTATTGAGAGGCAAATGAAGATTAACATCTTTCCAAATGACATTAGCCCGTGTCAGGATTGAACCATGACCTTTCAAGTCAAGTGCTTTAACCCCTCGACTACGACACTTATACATGAGTTCACTTGGAACTCCGCAAAAAACCACTCGATTTACAAGTTATTCCCTAGGAATTTAAAGAGCATTTCTCGCGAATATTTCCTGCATATTATATACAAATTAATATACATAATGGGTGGTGTATGGGTGTGCGTGTGTGCGTGGGAGTGTATGTCTACTGTCTCGAGGATAAGTTACTTTCAGCGTAAAGCCAATGGTTCATTGGTGGAGGCCCTTGACTCTGATAAAAAGAGGTCCTGGTTCGGATCCTTGCTCGGTGCCAGGTAAAAATGTCAGAGGTAAAAATGTCAGAGGTAAAAATGTCAGAGGAAAAAATGTCAGAGGTAAAAATGTCAGAGGTAAAAATGTCAGAGGTAAAAATGTCAGTGGTAAAAATGTCAGAGGAAAAAATATCAGAGGTAAAAATGTCAGAGGAAAAAATGTCAGAGGAAAAAATATCAGAGGTAAAAATGTCAGAGGAAAAAATGTCAGAGGTAAAAATGTCAGAGGTACAAGCAAAACAAATGAGTGCCGTCATAATATCTCAGCACTTTTATCACTCAGAATGTCGAGACGTACAGCTACTGCATGGGCTAGTCTATTATATTCCTTTCTAAATGGATGTGTTGTATATCGTACATGTCCTGAGGATAATATAATGTGGAAAATAGATTTTGAAATTTATTTTTTTGTGGAAGCAATCAGAGAAGGTTAATCATCTAGCATAAACATGTAAGTATTGGTGTGTAGTGCAAGGTTTTGGAGTCATCAAAATGATACAAAATTTGGCCCAGTCTTGGTAAAGTAACAAGCACTGTACACAGAAAGATATTGATATGGGACTACACAAACATATGGCATACAAATCGGGCAGCCATACAAAAATGTTACTTGTTATATCTGGGATATGAAGTCATTTGAAATAGATTTTCAGGGAATGACTTTTTTCTTTGATGTTCTATCACACTTGCATTGAACGCTCACAAATATTTTTTTTTACCTTTCCCCAGAACTCAACCTTCTCTTTAATTGATGTAACATGTGCGGCTTTCTGCTTTGTATCGGAGTAACAAAGCTGCTTATTGATTTTCTCTCAGACTATTTTATACCGCAATGGTAATCGACAATATTTTATTGCAACGCGCGCACTTCGGGAATGTGATGGTGCGGTTAGCATTGATAACATGGCTTTCTGCTTGTTTCAGAGTATCAAAATACCAAACCCTCAAGAAAGTGGAATTGTCGGAAATATGCATTTATTGGAAATGACATATAATAGTAGACATTGCCACGCAGTTAAAATGTCCAACAATCTTCAAATATGAAGGAGAAGTAGGAGGGGGAAGGTTCATAGATATCTGATCCTATTTTGGGGGCTGTACTGACTCTTCTTTTTATTTAATGATTACACCATGGAGCGACAACTCAGCCTATAAAACATGGCCAAACTTCTCGATTTTAGAAATCTTTTTCCCCGAAGTTTGCTCAGTGTACCAGTACCATTTGCTTATACAAAAACATAATATACCGGTATATAAATATTGAATAAGGCAGACTAATGGGACATGGATGGTGTACTCCGAGTTTCACGCCTTGCAAGCGGTCATCAGACAACTGATAGCATTCTTCAAAGTACATGATTCCTCTACAACCAGGGCTCAAATTAATTTTTTGTCCACGGGGGCTCTTCCCCCCAAAAAAGAGCCCCCGTGAGCCTTCTCACGGGGGCTCTTTTAGTACTGACGGGGGCTCTCTGTTATACAAATATCCATTGAATTGGTACCTATGATACTCCTCAATTATTTGCTATTTCATCATTATCATTTCAATCAGCATTTTCCCTCTTACAAATTTACAAGCTACATAGCTGTTACTGGCCTGTGTATATAATATATACGTATACAACACTGATCTTTATGATGTCTTTAACGGGACATATCTTCTTCTCCCCTTGCAAACGAGAAAGAAAACAAGGTCATTAAAAGGGATTAAGCGACAAATAATGATTGTGATTCAAATTGATGCGAATATTTGTTTGAATAAGCACTGCTATTCACCCGAATCTTCTTTGTAAAAACAACTTTTACAAATCTCAGCCATGCTTACTGAGTTGAGACGTTCCATTCAATGTAAAATACTCATTACAGAGTACACTTCTCCTAATCTGAAAGTAATCTTACAACACAGTGGCAGATTTGCATGGCTTAGATTTGTAAAAGTCGTTTTTACAAAGAAGATTCTGGTAAAAAGCATTGTTTATTCAAAAAAATCCTTGCATCAATTTGAATCACAATGATTATTTGTCGCATGATCCTTTTATTAAATAACCTTGTTTTTTTTTTAATGATTACACCATGGAGCGACAACTCAGCCTATAAAACATGGTCAAACTTCTCGATTTTAGAAATCTTTTTCCCCAGAAGTTTGCTCAGTGTACCAGTACCATTTGCTTATACAAAAACATAATATACCGGTATATAAATATTGAATAAGGCAGACTAATGGGACATGGATGGTGTACTCCGACTTTCACAGCTTGCCAGCGGTCATCAGACAACTGATAGCATGCTTCAAAGTACAAGATTCCTCTACAAAGACTACAACCTTGGTATACGCTCAAAATAATACAATAAGACAGCGGTGAAATAACGACTGCAGAATATCCCTCGCTGTTCTTTTTCGATAAGCCTGATATATAACCCGGGTGTAAACATAACAAACTTGTCACATGCTTTTGTTTTTATTTTATACCTCTAACATTTTTACCTCTGACATTTTTTCCTCTGACATTTTTACCTCTGACATTTTTTCCTCTGACATTTTTACCTCTGACATTTTTACCTCTGACATTTTTACCTCTGACATTTTACCTCTGACATTTTTACCTCTGACATTTTTACCTCTGACATTTTACCTCTGACATTTTTACCTCTGACATTTTTTCCTCTGACATTTTTCCTCTGACATTTTTTCCTCTGACATTTTTACCTCTGACATTTTTACCTCTGACATTTTTACCTCTGAAATTTTAAACTCTGACATTTTTACCTCTGACATTTTTACCTCTGACATTTTTACCTCTGACATTTTTTCCACTGACATTTTTACACCGAGCCCCTTGCTCGATGATTACATAATTGGAAAAGATGTCTTACTCATACTTGTCCCTCTGTACCCAGTTGTATTCAATGGGTACTTAGCAATGCTAGGGTATTAATATCATCATTATTATTGTTACTATTAGTATAATGATGATATATTATTATTATTAGTATTAGTATTATTATAATCCTTATCGTCATTATTCAATCAAACAATATAATATAAAAATATAATATAAAAATCATTCATATTCCAGCACCAGTGGCGTCTTTTATCTCAAACCGAATATCTCCTCGATTGCTTGGGGCCGTGGGAGCCATTCTATGCAGTGGTGGAGTTATAGGTGCCTCCTTCTGTACCAGCATTATTCATTTCGGCATATGCATGGTCGCCATTGGTAAGTGTGGAGTTATACATTTATCTTTCTGAGGAAAAAAAAATCAAAATAATTAATTAACCTTCGCAGAACAAGAAGCCTATCTCTGGATAAAGCATGACAGGACTTTAAATCCTAGCCTCTGTTTGGCTATTTCAATCGTATATACTTCTTTCCTTCAATTTTACCATGTTTAATATAATGATTATATAGATTTAATTCAATTCAATTACACTTATAACTGACATCAGAATAATCAAACTATTTCTTACAAAAAAGTACCATTGTAAAGATACAAAAAATACCATGGTAACCATGTTTTTTTTGGTCCAAATTACCATCCACCATGGTAACCGTGGTTATCATGGTACCAAAACAATGAATTACATTGGGTCATTAATCAATGTATTTCATTGTTTTGTTACCATGATAACCATGGTTACAATGGTGGATGGTAATATGGGAAAAAAACATGGTTACCATGGTATTTTTTGTATCTTTATCATAAATGATTACGTTCGTCCTTTTTCATACTATTTATTGAAAAACAAACATTAAACACAAAAGCGTATATTTTCTTCTCTCTCGTAGGTGTAGGGAACGTGTTCCTGGTGTTCACTTTGACGACCAATCTCCATGAGCATTTCCCTGTCAAGTTTGATGTCATCAACACCATTTCACTGGTAGGATCGCCATGTGGAGCGTTCATCACTCCAGTCATCACAGAAAACCTTCTAGAGATCTACGGTTTAAGTGGTACCATACTTATTCTGGGTGGATTCAGTCTGAACTTCATGATAAGTGCTCTCGTCCTAAGGCCACCTCGGAGTCGGAGGAGGAGGAAGAAGAAGAGTGATCAAGAAATAGAGTATATTCCCGTTCAGAAACTTGACAGAGACACCGACAGAGGTGAAGCGGTAGATGAAGCAAATGATCTCAGAGAAACTTCCACTCAGAGTGACACTGGAGATATTCAAATCAAACCAAAGACTACATCATTGATAACGCACATCTTGGATATCACAAATCTATCTGTACTGCGGAGAGTCCCAATTTTTGCGTTACTTCTTTTCCCAAACTTTTTAATGATGATAGTATGGATGGGTTGGACGCTGTTCCTTGTCCCTCACGCCGAGTCGTTGGGTATCAGTCAAGCTCAGGCTGCATACCTTGCCATGTTAGGTGGGATCGGTGGAATAACTGGCCTTATATGTACGTCAGTCTTCCTCATGTTTTACCCGCGGGTTGGTCTGCGTCTTCCTGCTGTTACCTCCCTGATCGGGTCGATTGTTTTCTTCCTCGACCTCGCAAGCAGCCAATACGTCTTCCAAGCCATCCATGCATTCCTCGTTGGTTTCTTGGTCTATCACACCAGCGTCTACATCGTAGTGGGTGTTAAGTATGCCCTACCAGACGAGGACTTCGCTATGGGGTTGGGATTGGCGTTATTTGCCTACGCCGTGGGTAATATCGTGGGAGGAATGGGTTCAGGTGAGATGACCTTATATCTAACCTAGAGCTAGAGTTGGATAATTACCCCCCGAACACCATACCCTGGACGTCTAGCTCAATACTCACCAAAGATATCTGTTACTTGACCCCTGCACAACTATCCTAACGATATCCTTACTAATTAAGAGCAGTAATTCCGGAGGGAAATTGTTCTGAGAGTATGAAATGGCCAGGGACTATAGTAATATTACTGTCAAAGAAGGATACTTTCAAAGGGCTAATTGTCCTAATGATTCTCTTGGGAAGTTGTCCTGATGACACACTATCTTGATACTATCAACATGTTCTTGTTGGGAAGCCGTCAAGGATGATTGAAAGGGTAGTCATTCTAAATGGGAAATTGGTCTGAGGGGGAATTAAGATTGTCAGGGAATGAAATGAGCGGCTTATTGACCGGATGGCATGTGTTCGTTTCGGCAGATGTCCTGATGACTTGTTATAAGTTGAACTGTAGTTATTGTAGATTAGTGATATAAATATTGAAAGTTTTATTTTATTAGGACAAACAGGCATGCCCAATATTGGGTTATTGATAACTCTAGCCCATTATGTATTCATTTAAGATAAAGAAAAGTGATTTATCCTTTCTTTAATGGTACGACTTTTTCCTATGCAGAATTGAATAATAAAAAAAGACAATGACTCGTGTAATAAAAGGCCAAAGAAAAAAAAAAGGGGAAAAAATCGATTCGTTGTTGCTTGTCCCATTTTATCAACTAGGGCCTTACCCTTTGTCTGATCTATAGGCTACGTTCCTCCCATTCGCCATTTTCTTCTTATTATAGTTTTACTACTTTCTCCTCCTCGAACCCATTCTGAGACATGCTTGCAACATCCACTACACCTACGACTCCTGCAATTGATGCAGCAACAGAGCTATAAATTATATCCTATGTACAATTATCTGGTATTATACCCTTTCTCATTACTTTAAAAAAAAAACGAGGATATTCAATTTACATATTTGTGTTCATGTCTGTCTTCTGTGAGAATTGTCTTTGTTATGATGTTTACTATCCCTATTCTTTTTTTCACTCTATGTTCTCCAGGTCTGATATACGACTTGACGCAGGATTACAAGTTAGTCTTCGTTGCGTTAGGTGTAGCCGAGGTTCTCATCTCTTTCACTTACATCTGTTTCGTCATTGCACAGAACTATCAGCGAAAGAAGAAAGAGGCGTTGGCAATGGAGGAAGCTAACGTTGCAGGGCATAAGCTTTAAAATAATGATTTTTTTTTTAAAACCAAAGAGGAATAGTTTGATGACTAATTGGTGCTGAAATGAATGGTGTAATTGCTGTTTGATTATGTATCGTCGGAATGTTATATTATAGTATTAATGACTGCTTTTTGGTGTTGCATTTGATCATCATCAAGAAGTGGAAATCTTGGGAGAGTTTCTTCAGCCATTTTTGCCTTGTTTGGAATTCAGTATACGATCGAGATTGCCATATCAAAAATATCGACCAATTCTTCGCACACGTACGGTATCCTCGATCGCTCAAACCAGTTTTTAACATGTGAACCTATGGGCATTTCACCAAGACTGAACTATTTTCCCGGTAACTGGAATTTTACCGGGAATTTTACAGGAATAGTTAAAACCATGACCGCAATTTCGGCCAATCAGATGACTGGATTTCTTAAGTGAGGTATATAATGTTTTATATTCCACATACAAATAATCTTGCCATACGATTGGTCAAAAGTAAATCACGTGATGAAAGATAGTTCGCCCTTCATTGATGGCGAGGAAAACTTCGTTGTTCAGTGTGGATCGTAGTACTATCTACACATTGCAACGCACTTTCATTGAAGACAGCTGCAACTCACTTTCTTATATTGCGTATAGCCTATGTACGTACATAAGAAATGCATGCACTGTAGGTATCATACACCGTTTGCTAGCTGTTAATTGGTGATTTGTTGCTCTAAAATGACGGAAGAAGTGAAATGTTTCCGATGTGGAATATAAAGCAAATAATCATCTCTTGGTTTCAGGCGATGGCAAACTATCACTTCCACCGCGATCTGAATTTACACGCTATTAATCTTTCCTCAGCTTCGCTTCGGAAAGATAGCTACATCCAGATCGCCTCGGAAGTGATAGTTTTTACAATCACCTTAACCAATGGTAATATTATTATTTGCTGAATATTAATCATATTAATATCATAGACCACCATTTACCATATCTATTTTTTTTAACCTCCAACAATTCTGCACCGAGTTTTAAATTCATAGATGACCAATGCTAATTTCGAAATTTAAATACTATATTTGATAAATTTTTTGTACCATTCCATTTTTGTCATTATTCTTGTAAGTATTATGGTATTGTAATAATTATGTTCACTTATATGTTCTTTGTTCTCAGAACGCCAGAATAATAGAGCTGTTACCATTAATAAGTAACTTCTATTGCTCCCAATTTAAAGGACAAGTCCACTCGAAAAATAACTTACTTTCAATAAAAGCTAAAAAAATCAGCCAAACCAATCATAAAAAGTTTGAGCAAAATCGGATAACTAATAAGAAAGTTATGAATTTTTGAAAAAGTATGTAAAACTATGGAACAATGAAAAACACAAAATAATTGCCAAGATGGTTATCAGTTTGTGATGTCATGTCCTCACTATTTATCAATTGCTCTATATGGTTTGATCCCATTAATTTCCCTTTTATTCCCCAAAACTTGATTTTCCCATGCCTTTGCCCAGGTTATATTTGTATCATATTGCGTGCAAGACATTTTACAAAATCTTGTTTGAACTTTGAAGAATTTATACTATTTTCTGAATATTGTATATTCATAATTATTGATTTTTATATAAATAACTCTATATTAGTGCATCCACACAAAAACATATTACTATTAATCTAACTTGGATGCTGGTGTGAAGAAATAAGATTCTTAAGGAAAAAATAGGAAATTTATATCATCAATATAAAGAAACTAATTAGTGGATAGTGAGGACATGACGTCACAGACTTATGAGTGAGTTGCCAAGTTGTCTAGTGATTTTCAAAGTTTTTAATGTCATTAAAAATTCATAACTTTATTATTAGTTATCCGATTTTGCTCAGACTTTTTTTGATTGGTTGGTCTGATTTTTCTGCTTCTATTGAAAGTAATTTATTTTTTGGAGTGGACTTGGGCTTTAAGAGGTTCATTTGATGCCACACAATATATAGGATTTACCAATTCGAATATACACTCAGCAAAAGAAGAGAAAGTGAACTCTTTTTATTGTGAGCAATTTTCATATAATCCATCAATAAAATATACTAGAATACAACCGAAATAAAGGAAATTAATACTCTACCGACATCATTATTTAAAATCAAGTTTCAAACATTCACACTTGAATGGGCTAATTCATTTAACCGTTAGAATGTCTGATTAAAAGAAGATTAAAAGTAAAGCAAGTATCGATTCAAAGGTTAATGAACTGTGCATTTGTAGGATGTTCTTGTTCAGCATTGGAAATAAAGAATAAGAAACAATGAGAAGGTTTTAGCTCTGAATGTCCAAATGGTGTTTGTACGGCTACCTGGTGCCTATAGTATATTAAGTGGAGCATTTGACGACCGAATAACATCAAATAGAGTGAGATGATGATTGGTGACGGAGAGAGAGAGAGAGAGGGGGGGGGGAGGGTGAAAGATAATAAGCAAAGTAGTTAGCGATTGAAAGGAAAGAAGAAAAAAAGAGATCGAGAAAATGAAAAAGAACGGACGGAAGGAACGAGAGAGAGAGAGAAAGAGACGGGGAGAGAGAGAGAGGAGAAAGAGATATAGTCTACCTGACACCCAACCTATCATTCTTTCAATATCTTTATCGGTCGATTAGATATTTAGTATATTATATTTATCCACCTATATCTAACTATATTATATACACATATTTATCTATCATTACTCCCTAATCTTTCAAAATTCATGTTATTAATGTATACAATTTAAATTATTCTTGTGCGAACCTACACATAACAAGCATTGCTTCCAAATTGGTACGTTTTTCATTTCCTGTATTAAACTAAATAATTTTGCATTACAAGACTAACAAAAAGCAATGGCAAAGATATTTCAATGCTAATTGTCTGTTCTATCATTACGTTAATTATTGTGATTATCTTGTCATTGTTTATATTATGTGGAAAATGAAATATATTCGCTCTGCATTCAGCGACTACTACTACTACTACTATTTACCCACGTTTTCTTCTTTGATGGTACATACTGCTTTCTTCCTATCAATGTACCTATCTATCCATCCATCTATCTATGAATGTGTCTTTCTAACAACCTGTCTATCCATATTATCCATTCACCTATCTACTCGCTTATCTAACTCTACCTATATCCATTTATCTATCAATCTTAAAGGGACTTTGTAACATTGTTCAGATGAGAGATAGTGGTGCTAAGGTAATGACTTCAATGCTAGATGCACAATTAAAGATAATCTGAAAATTTGAGTGAAAACGGATCATTATTCATGGTACAAATTGGGAAAAACTGATTTGATCGATTCGTTAATTCTCCCAACTATATTATTCTACTTCTCAAAGCCTGTTCAGCATCAAGACAAGGACAATTTAATTACATTTTAGGTGAATGTAAATCGTCAAAAAGCAATAAAATGGCTCTGCATTCCATTCCAGACAGTGAAGTGTTGATTTGTATAGCCTGTTTTATGTATTTTTGTCATGGAAAAACGGTTGGGAAAATTCAAAAATGGTTGGGAGAAATACTGTTAATCACTGTTAGAGGGTGCCTCACATCGACGCCTTCAAAGAAAACTATAGATATCTTTGTGGTTTGAGAATTTGTTCAGGATTTTTTGCATGTCAGAGGGTTAGTATAGTAAAAGGAATATAGTAAGTAACATTTTATACAAAAATTAAGCAATTTTTTCATCAACCTTCAACAATGTTACCGAGTCACTTTAAATAGTAGCTGTCAAAATGTACATACATGCACAACTTGACTTGATATAAATTATGTACTTGTCCCCATACTATCATGACGAATGTAACTTTCTCTCCCTCTCTGCTCCTCTCTGTCCCATTTCTTTCATAATGCTCTTTTCCCATCGTTCTTCCTTCCTAACCTAATTGTTAGGTAACCCTTTTTATTGTATGTGTTCGTATTTTTATTCTCGAAGGGACGTCACTTCAAGCCTATATGCTTAAGACCACCCCTCTCCTCAGTCTCCTGATATTTATTTTCAATGATACCATGTCATTATTATACATCAAAAGTTATAAGATTGTAACTGTAAATATGTTGATGTATATGGAAATTAAAAAAAAACGTCAAAATAAAAATAAAAACAAATCAAACCAACTTGTTTTTTTTTCTATCTGTCTGTCAACCCAATATGTATTTTCGTATTTATATCCATCGATCTATTTATTATCTAACTATCTATCTATCCATCTGTTCTCACTAAGCTGCATCTCTCATCTAACCTGATACAGCCATTCTTATTTCCACTCTTCTGCTAATTTCATCTTCATTCAGTCCTGCTTTTGATAATGATAAACATTCTTACATGATGACAATATCGATGGTAAGAACACAAATCAGCATGAAGCCATGCATGGACGTATAAATCGTGAGGTTTATGTCTTTGCTTTTTAATCCACCCCTCTCTCTCTCTCTCTCTCTCTCTTTCTCTCTCTCTCTCTCTCCGTCACCTCTCCTCACTCTATTTGATCATATTCGGTCGTCAAATGCTCCACATAATTATAATTCATTACGTCCTTCTCTTGTCCAAATGAACCTTTATCATGATGTCAGTACAACCGGCATCGTGGATCACACATGTGAATCACATTTTCCCAGTTTTAATGTTTATCTTTCACCTTAATGTGATTGAAAACAGTAATGTTTAACAAATCTATACAAAACATTTCACAGAAACAGGTTATTATCGTTTGATTCCGCACCCTCTTTAATTAATGAGCAATAAATATATAAAGAAGGTAGATAAGAAGAGAATTGCGATGTTCATATTATTCATTATTTGAAAGGTCAGAAAATGGTCGTTAAGCTGGGAATCAACAATGCATACTATCCACTAAATCTATTAACATTTCAATGAAACCTCATCCATTGTTGTTTGTTTGTTATATTTCAATAGTCAGTCAACCAGTTTTGTTTCCCTCTCACATTAGTTGCTGCTATTCGTCGTAAATGATCGTCAAGTATAATCTTAAAATTGAAAGAAGGATCAAAATGAAACGGCACAATCGCAAAGACTTCCGATAATCACCCGAAGGCAATTTCAATAGTCCTTTTCTTCTACCAAATATTAAAATGTGCGAACATGACAA